CTGCTGGTCTCATTAATGAAGTAACCTTTTCGAAGAAGCATCAAAAAAAACGAGAACAACGACAAAAGCGAGGTATAAATAAGGAGGTTCAACAGAGGAAACAAGCAAAAGAAAACCGGAAGCGAGAGATTCGGACTAAAAGGGTTTATGGCAAAATATGTGCGCAAGAATGGAGACACATTCATGCACATATTCAACTTCCTTCAAATTCACCAAAACCTACGCTGATCTAATGCATCGGGCATTGGTAAGAGGTTAATAGTTGTATAAAAGGGTATGCTAAACGAGGAATGAAAAAAATTCGAGCTCAATACAGGAACTATGGAAATGTAGCAATTGTAAATGAGTTTAATACCTCGAAGATTTGCCCATATTGCTTTTCCAAACTTGTTCTTCATCGCGTTCGCAGAAACATTAATGGAAAAGAGCGAACTGTTCGCCTCCATGGTGCAGTAGAATGCGTTCATCCTCAGTGCTGGCAAGAAAGTTAAATTACACAATACGAGAAAGGGACACTAATGCATCTGCAAACATCGCTCTGTCTGGAGCATCGATTGTTCTAGCTGCTGACCGTCGGCCCCTTCCTCCGTTTCGTCATAATTCATCTAATCAAATAAGATACAACCTTGTAAAAGAACTTTCTTTAGTCGCGACATCAGAATTGATTCCTCGTGACTTCATTCGTGATGAATGAATATGGTAAGATTTAATTTTTTTTTTTTAGTTTTCTGGCTGTTTTATTCCATATGCTCACTTTGTCTTGTTTTGTTGCAGCATGTCCCATATAAGTCAAATTGTATCAAAGTTTTTAACATCACGTGATCAATATCGACATTTTCGCTTTAAATAATTATTTTAAACTATTTTAAATCTCTTCGATAAAAAAATTTTCTTTGCAAGGAAAGTGTATTAAAATTTATACAGAACATTTTTTAGTTGATGGCGTAGAATAGTTAAAACAGTTATTCAGACCAGATCTGCAGTTATGAATTTGAATGTCACTAGCCCAACTTCTTCCTTTCGAGTTTACTTATAAATCTTGTCGTTGTTTCCTCCAGGGGAGACTGTTCCATATAAGGGAGTATCATTACACAATTTATTGGATTTTTTTTTATACAGTTTACAATAAATTTTCGTGAGACCAAAGTTGCCGATCTGTGCAATGAAACGTGAACAAATCTATTAAGATAACTTGAAGTTCTCATATTATACTATTACATATTTTTTTAATCCCCGTTAATCTCACATCTTTACGTTGCTATTCACCTCTAAAGATATATCTGAGACGAAGCGATGTACAGAATGCCAAACACTAGCTTGACTAAATTTCGCTCGTTGAAGGAAAAAAAATGGAAAGAAGCTGAGCGCAATGATTTAGTGAAGGTAACATGGAGGGAAAGTGTTCTTTATATAATGTTTGTTATATGCGTTTTGTAGAAAACCTCTTAAAAAAAGAGCATAAGAAAGTAAAAATTACGGACGAAGAAGCTGTAGACGAAAACACCGTGGATACAGAAGGTATAAAGGTTGATCTTGTTAGAGCTATCAAGGTGATGGCAAAAATCCTTTACAAAAGAGAACATGTAAAAGAAGAAGGTCCTATATATGCATTGGATGAAATGCGAAGATTATTTCAAGAAATTGACCTGAGCTTAAAGAGTTTCTTTAATCAACTATATTCAGCAGCTTGGCCACTCGAACGTAACAAGCAAATGATGGAGTATATAAAAAAACTAATGGTGTTCATTTGTTATCTTCTTGCTTCATTAAATAATATGAAAATTAATTGCTTTAAGTTTGATCTTGCATATTATTTAGATTCAGTAGGCACAAGTAATGAGGGCTTGAATACACTGGCAAATATTGGCATAACTACAATGGCAAGAGCTGTAGATCATAGGAAAAAAAAGATGTCAGATGCGTACAGAGAATATGTAAAGAGGTCTCTTACAAAATATTCGGGAAATGCATTGGTGTTGAATATCGACAATTATCACAACATTCATATTCAAAGACAACCTGATATGACGGATACATCTTGGGCAGCACATATGACAACGATCGTAGTAATTCCATGTCCTATACCGGCGATACTACAAAATAGAGTAATCAATCCAAAGATAGTTAATAATGAATTGATTGAAAGGCATCTTGATGATCGATTTATCATAAATCTTGAAGTTTCCTACAGTTATATGCAGAATTATATAGAAAAAGAAAGTTCTGACGATGAGCTCATAAATAGGTTAACTTTACATAGTTATAATGATAGGTTAGAAGAGAAAAAGAGTGAGCGACATATACAGAATGCCATTCTTATCGATTTTGTTAAAAGTAATTTGAAAGATGTGGAAAAATATACAAAAGCTCTTCAAATTGTGTACAATCAAGAAGCGATGCAAAAAGTAGATAGATTAAGTAGGCATCACTATATATATAGTGATGCCTACTTAATCTATCTACTTACACCATATTGATGCTTACTTATAGATATTGATGCCTACTTACTTGTTTTTACGTGTCTATGCCCCTTTTGATGCTTTGTAGCTAGGGATAGGAACGGTCCGATCTGGTCTGATCCGGTCTGATCTTTAGCAGTCTTTGAAAAAAGATCGGATCGAGACTGAGACCAATGGTCTTATAAGATCATCAGTCTTTTAATTTAAACCGGTCTTTTAGACCATCACTCTAATAAAAAAATTTAACAAATATGCCGCGAAAAAATATTTTATTGAATAATGTTTATTAAATTCAAAATTACTA